AGTGAGCCTGCCATACGCCAGTGACAATATATTATTTATTTTAATTTTGAACATATCTTCTCTCTATTTCTCTAAATGAGCCCAAAGGTAGCTTCAAAATGTTCCCCACCCACAAGGCTCAGGATTTTTTGAGGTGCTTAGATTGGTGTAGCATGAATAGGTTTAGAGAGGAAGAAAGGCATTGCAGGAAGCATGAGAGAAGTGAAGAAGGTGCTGCAGTCTGTGAAGTACCTGCTGTACAATTTTGGTGTGCTCCTGGGCCCAGCTCGATTCCTGAAGACTTAGGTGATATCTGCAGAAGTTCCCTTATTGTGGAACATCCTCTCTAGAGAGGATGTCATGGGCGGCCACCTTTGCCTCCCCAGAAGTAGGAGGAGGGTTGGGGGACGTTGGATGCATGAGGCATGGGGTGCTACATTTCATGCACAGCATTTGAGCACTTCAGTTACTTTTTGGAATGGGCTCTTCATTATCAGATGGGGTTGGTCGATATGGCCCACTACTCAGATGATTTATTGTTTGTGGGACCACAGGGCACTGGGCAATGTGCCAGATTGTTAGATCGTTTTGTTAGTTTAGCTGAGGAGCAGAGGGTCCCCCTAGCCCATGAGAAAACAGAGGGGCCTGGGACAGTTCTGACTTTTCTGGGTGTTGAGTTGGATACATGGAGGCAGGCTTCTAAGCTACCCAAGGAGAAGGTTGAGGAGTTGTGGTTTAGGATCATTTCATTCATATGGAGAAGGAAGACAATGCTGAGGGAGCTGGAGCATCTTAACTCCATGTGTAAGGTGGGTCATCTTGGTGGGCCATCGTAACTCCATGTGTAAGGTGGTGGCACCTCGCAGGGCATCCTTTGGAGGTTGTGTGATGCCAGGTTGGGGCTTTGGCTTCCACACCATAGGGTTCAGGTCACCAGTGGAATGAGGGTGGACCTGGAGGTGTGGGAGGAGTTTTTGGCCTTATTCAACTGCATTTCTTTCTGGAGGGATGACATGTAAATTCAGGCAGAGCTCCAGGTCACATTGAATGCAGTGGGATCTTTAGGATTTTGGGGTATGTTTTCATGGTGAGTGGTGTTGTGGAGGACTGGCCAGCTGCTTGAGCTGAGGCAGGTGTGACTAAGGACCTGACTTTTCTGGGGCTTTTCCCCATCGTGGTGGCAATGTGGCTGGGGGCAGAGACATTGGTTAATCATACCGTGCACTTCTGGTAGACAATTTGGTGGCAGTTCATGTGACAGTTCATGTGATTAATTCTCTGACATCCAAGTCTCCCAGGGTCATGAGGTTAGTAAGGGCTGTCACATTGCGCTGCCTTTGTTTTAATATACTTTTTCTGGCTAAGCACATTCCGGGGGTTAGCAGTGAGGTGGCTGATGCTCTATGAGGTGGAGAGGTTCTGTCAGCTGGCACCAGAAGCCAACCCCCAGCCAATCTGGATGCCCTCAGAGCTGTAGCAGCGTGGAGAGTCAAGGCTAACAGGGCATTAGGGCCTATAGCCATGCAGGTCAGCAATTCAAGGCCTTTAGGCAGCAGGTAGGGCTTCATCAGGCTTGGCCAATACCAGTAACACACTTGATGCAGTACTATGTGCACCTGAGAGATACAGGTGCAGCAGTGCTGTCCACCAGGGGCAAGCTATTGGCCTTGGCTTTTACAAGTAAAGCTAGGGGGGTTAGCAAAGTCACAGAAGACTTTCACATACATAAGATGTGAGACTGGGTTGCAGGCAGACAGGAGAGAGCCCATTTCCCCTGTATTCCTGAGAGGACTGGGCACGGAGGGGCTGAGGGATGGTCTGTGCTGATGGCTATGAGTTCTATCTTTTAACTGTTTCAATTGATGGACTTTTGGAGGGGCATTCAGGGTTAGCGAGTTGGTGGCAGCCAGGGGTCATTTAGTAGAAAAAGAGGGGCAGTAGCTCATTAGCATAACTAATTAGCATAACCTATTTGCATATGCCACACACCCTGATCTAAGAGATCTCTTAGACCCAAGCCCTGTCTCCCTTGCCCTGGGCTTGGGTGGGTTGCGGGGGAGCCCAGGGCAAGGGTGAAAGGGCTTGGATCTAAGAGATCCAAGCCCTTTCTGCCTTGCCCTCAGCTCCCCTGGGCTTGGATCTCTTAGATCCAAGCCCTTTCACCCTTGCCCTGGGCTCCCACAGGCTTGGAGAGGGAGGGAGAGACAAGGCTGAAAGGGGCTTGGAAGAGATTCAAGCCTCTTTCAGCCTGGCCCTGGACTCCCATGGGCTTGGGGGGGGAGAGACGAGGCTGAAAGGGGCTTGGATCAGCCTTACCCTTGGCTCCTGTGGGCTTGGGTGGGGGAGGAGGGAGAGACAAGGCTGAAAGGGGATCTCTTGGGTCCAAGCCCCTTTCAGCCTTGCCCTGGGCTCCCACAGGCCAGAAAAGATGAGGGGGTGGGCATGCAGGCCTTTCCCCGGCCCAACTCACCTTGCTACTTCTTGCTCCTCGTGGCCTGACTGAGGGCTGCTGGGAGCAGGGGGCGGGGCTTGCTGCATGTGCCCACCCCCCTGGGCTCCTTACTGCCGGAGCATTGCTCCTGTGCACGCCAGCAGGAAATGAGCCCTGGTGGTGGCTTCATGTAGCAATAGGACAGGTAGGGCCCTGAGGCTGCAGAGCATTCACGTCATGGAGAGCAGCATCCACATCAGGGTCAGGAAGTCAAAAACCAATCAGCGGCAGAGGGGAGTAGAAGTTCACTTGGAGTTCTGTTCAGAGGTTGACCTTTGCCCAGTGGTGGCATTGCAGCAATACTTAACATTGAGGGGATTAGAGGGTGGCACACTGTTCTAGCCCAAGGATGCCAGCCCCTAATAAGGTTTAGATTTTGGGCAATTACCAAGTGAATGCTGGATGCACTGGGTTTGTGTCAGTTTCAGTTTGGGACCCACTCATTTCAGATTGGGGCGGCCTCCATGGCAGCTGCAATGGGTAATTGGCTTCAACCATTCAGCAACTAGTACAGTGGAGTCACAGTGGGGAATTTCAGACAGGTGCTTTCTCCCGGTAGGGAACCGATTCTCAACCGGGTGCTGGTCTGTCATTTCAGACAGAACCCGGTTGAGAATCGGTTCCCTACCGGGATGAAGTGGCATTTCACACAGGGAAGCCTCTCTTCCGTTTAGGAACCGGGAGGAACCGGGAGGGAAGCGTTTTACCTGTCAACCGCTTCCGAGGAGGCTCCCGTTCCCTCTCCCGGTTCCGATACGCTTCTTTCCCGCCTTTTTTCAGCCGCGCGGGCTTTTTTTTTTTTTAACGTTCGGCTTATATCGATATATCGATATAACGCTATACCGATCCCATTGGAATACATTGGAATACTGGTATATCGATATATTGCTATAAGACGGACTTTTTTAAAAAAAAAAAACCGTGGGGAAACAAAGCGGTGCGTGTGTGAAACGCCGAACCGCTTCTGAATCGGCTCCTTTCCGGTAGGGGCAAGCCGTGTGTGAAACGGCAGCCCTCTACCGGTTCATCTGCAAACGGAAGACTCCCGGCTTGAAACCGGGAGAAGACGAGTAATGTGAAATTCCCCAGTGTTACAAGCCTTTTGTTTAGCTGCTTAATACTCTGTAGGGAATGGTGTCCTGCTGTTAATGTCTTTTCTTCCTAGGCCTTTCTGGCCACCGCGAGAGGCAATGAGTCATCATTTGCTGCCACAGTATGGTGTTCTTAGAGGCCCACTGGGCCAGAAAGACTCCCATTGGCACACAGCTGGGGCTCAACGAGTTGACTTCGGTGGAATGGCTGGGATAACAGGGCTTGTGGACTGGCCTCATCCCGCTGCTGTTGAAAGCGAGATGGGGTCCTCCGCTTCATGTATTGTTGCTCCACCTGGGTGAAAATGATCTCAGCCTGGTGAAGAGTAAGGCCCTAGTGATTCAAGCAAATCCTAACCTGGAGCTCTTCAAGAGCAGGTGGCCTGGGATGCGAATCATGTGGCCAGCTATCTTGGCGCACTGGGTGTGGGGCATCCTTGGGGACACCAGATGTTTAGACAGAGCTCACCAGAAGGCAAACAGGGAAATGAAGAACACAATGGCTGGTGGATTGGATCCCTTTCTGCCTCACCCTGGGATATGGGCTGAGCTGGTCAATCTGTACAAGGCTGATGGACTGCATTTGTCTGAGAGAAGCAATGATATATTCCTAGATGATCTGTGGCAAAGGCTGTGGGCAGCTTTAGGACACCCGGTGAGTGCAGGGTCCTAAGCAGAGGCTTGGCCTTGGCAGTGGCAGGTTAGTGTGGGAGAAGGGGAGAATAGATCCAGTGAGCACTGTATGGCACCTTCCTTGTTGGGGTCAAGGGGCCTCAGGTTCAGCCCTCGGGAATGAGGACTGACTTGGGGCTGACGTGGATAGGCTCCTTTCCACTTAGCTTCGTGACTTGAGGGGGAGCCCCAGGGTGGCACCCTGTTTGCCAGACAGGCTGCTGGTGATCCAAAGGGATGGCTCACACCTGGAGCAAAGGTGGCTCACCCAATGTATGGCAAGGAGGGGGTCCTGGGTGACGCCTGGCCTTGGCCTATTCCTGCACTCAGTGTAAAATGGTCCTGGTTAAAACCCAACCTGTTGTGTCCCTCTTTATTCCAACTGGAGAGGCAATTGTTTTGTGATTTTATTAGGAGTTTGATGGTTTGGGACTGCTACTCTGCTTGCAATTTTGTGAGTACTGTTTTGATGTACTGAATTGTTTTGATTTTTCACAGAATAGCAGCTTTCCTTCTGTTATGATTTATAAGTGCTTTTAAAGGATAGATATAATTTTAAACTATGCATAAAATCTAAATTATTCTTATTGTTATGCCATTATTACATTTGTTGATAATATACTATTTTATCATTTCTCAGATGCTGGTGCTGATGACAGCTGTACTGCATCTGTTACAGTCTGTAACTATATTACCCTTCACAATCTGGTTTGGTGGGGAAAGACAAATAGTTCTTCCTCCAGAACAAACACAGCTTTATCACCTACCTGTACTGGATTGCACAATTCCAGAATCCACTGTTTGTCCCATGAGATCATATTGGTTCAACCGAGATCCATCTTCTGCAACTACAACTGACCGAGCTGGTTCCCGTGTCCATTCATACAGCACTTCTGACTTTGTATAAGCATCTAATTGAAAAGAACAATATGTCATTTCCAGGGGGACAGTGCCTCTTTAACAAGAAAAAGATCTTTATCCCTTTAAATTCTCATATCAGGGACTCGCCTGACCCATTTTTACACCAGAATATCATGACTGTTGCAGCTACTGCTTTTATTTTTTATTTTTAAAAGATTCATTGGGAAGCCAAAACATCTCTTGAGCGTCTGTCCCATCCCACAAGTCCTATTCCTTTGTGATATGCTCCAGTGCTTTCAAGGTGATCTGTGACAAGGCAGTACTGTGCGGAGCATCATCATGTTGCCATATTACATCAACAAGAGGCTCTTTACCAGTACAAATTCTGGCATTAGGATTTAAGGCATGTTCAGGAATGCAGTTCTAGGACAGCTTTCATACCTGGAACAACACCACCATGATCAACAGCTCCTGACAGAAAGAGATTATTCTTTCTCTTTCAAGAATCACTCAGGGATAACTCCTGGGCCCTGAAGCTATGTTTTTAGGGGGTTGCTCAGGCTCTTCCACATTCACTGTTCTAGTTTTCAACTTTACATTTTGAGGACAACTGACCAGGCAATCTTCTTGCACAAGCCCAGCCAAAATGAACAGGAGTTTGTATAGAATGTTTCCTAATGTTTTGGCACATATTTCCACTGTCAAAACTTACCAAAGGACAACTGTAATCTGGATTTGTTTTTGACATCTGGTTCATCTCCAAATAAGTTTTAAACCAGTTACGCTTAACAGAAAATCGTTGAGTTGTTTTTTAAAAAATATATATGCTATGGTTGGCTATTGTTCACTGTCACTGGAACCAGTTTACAGATTATTTGTATGTGGAGCTGAAGACACTCTTTCCCTTATAAAGGGTAGCTGCAGTTAACCCAAAACGATAAGTCTTATATGGTGTGCTGTATCACGGTCAGGCAGTCTCTGCATGTCTGGACTGTAGCCATTCCATTTTTGGCTCATACCTGTGCCAGATACTGGATTATATTCATTCATGTAGAAAATCTTCATTTAGAAAATAAAGCTACAAAGACTAAAAAGCATATACACACACATACAATCCCAAATTCGTAGATACTCTCTTCTGACAGTTAAATGGCCTTTTGAAAGGGGGGGAGGATGATTGTTAAAGATGACTCACAGCTTCCAAATTTCAAAGGGCAAGCGTGTGCATCCATAGGAAAGTCTTCTAAGTGCATCGGACATTCTGCTCTCACTGTGAGTCTACAAGGAGGGAGGGAGGTCACAGGTAATAGAATGATTTAGTACAAGAAAGTGGTTTTACAGCCAATTATAATATAAAGACCTGTATTCCATTGCACATTGGCGAATGCAGTGTATCAAATTATCATTTGCAAGAGCCAGATCAGACACACTTTTGCTCATTTAGATTTTTGGTTTGTTGCTCATTGTTTGAACTTTAAATATCTTGAGAAGATCTTAAAAACCTGTAACATTTTGTGTTCACCTATTACAATGGCAAAGTTGAGATGGGGCTGAACACTGCAGTATACTATACCAGAATATTGTACTGAACAAAATTAATATTTTTAAATGGAGCAATGGATAATTCCTAATTTATCAGTTCAATTGTATAATAACCAGCCAGTCATTCATAACTCCAAAGTGTGAACAGAAATTTGGAGAACTTTGAAAATATTCCCAGAGATTAGTCTGTTATAACAAAGACCAATCTGCAACTTACTTGCTCTAACTTTGCAAAGTTTTAGAAAACTACAAAGATCAGATGCTTGGCTTTCAGAAAAACTTTTGAGCATTTTTTAGAGACCAGGACTTTTTTCTTCTTCTTTCCCTGTGTAGAGGGTAGTAGGTTTATGATCTGGTAACGCTCAAACAACTAAATTCCATTTGTTCCTCTTAATACTGGGCTGGGAATGAGGATGGCAAAGGACATCAGACTTTCTTACTTGGCATCTACTGAATGCTACTTTAATGCTATGGAGGAAGCTGCTTATTACTCTGCAGCAGCTAAAGCTATAACAGCCTAATCCCCAAACTTGTTCAACAGAAGTAGGAAGCCTGGTTTATTCCAAAGACTTTGATAGGCTCAAGTCTGCTTAAAGGTCAGCAAGTGGAAAGATAAACATGAAAAGAGCAGAGGACAATGCAAACAGCTATATTAGGTTTGTCCTTGGGCTGGCATTCACATCATTACAGAATCTAAAATTCTAATGTAAGTATTTTTTTAAAGGCCTGAGATATGGAATTAAATTCCTTGTGCAAATTATAACTGCTATGGTAGTTTTTCATAAATGAGAAGATGCCACGTGAGTCTCACCTCATTGTGTAAAGCAATGTCCCATCTTCTGTAATCCGCAAGAGTTTATTTGGCATGGTCATGTTGTGAGCTACTGATTTCTTTCCATTGTGAAAAAATGTATCTGGTGTCCATATTTTGCTGGCCATTAAATTATTCAGCCGGAGGACTGTCATGGGTCCTTTGAACTTCAGCCTTTCATCCCTCCAGCTTTGCCGGAAAAATACATCTATTGTATATTCCTAAAATTAGAAAATGGGGAGTTTTGAAACAGCCCATCTAGCAATGGAGAGACAAAAAATTCAAGATTGATACTGAGCTTTAAACAAATTAACATTTATTATTTTCTATATAAAGTGGATAAATCATGTGACTCTGGTCTCAGAAAAAAAAAAAAGAGGATCCCTGAAACCACCAGAAAGCTGGACGTCGACAAACCAGGAAATTGGTTCTGAAGCTAAGTGATCTCCCCAATAGAAGACTGTTGGAAAGAGCTGAACAGGGAGATTTTAATCTTGTTTATGTTTAAATTTATATTCTCCTTTTTGGCCATATAGATGAGTCTTTGAAACCCAAGCTGACTTAGGGAGGATGTTTCTCATCCATTCTCCTGCATCTAGCTCTTTAAAGTAAACAACACACAAAGCCCATATAGGAGATCACAAGAGAGCTTTTTTTACTCACAGAAGTTCAAAACTACAATTTACAGTCTTAGCCACAACAGTAAATACCCAAGAGGGAAAAGGTCACTTTTCAGATAACCTTGGTCTTTCCCTTTCATCTCTCTGTAGCAGTCAATTTTAAACTTCCGAATCCTCCTCTTTGTCTGAATCCCTAATAGGCATCACCTGTTAGTAATAGGCATCACTCATCCTCCACAAGCATTCACTGTCCTCCACAACCCAAACAATGGCAATGTTGCAACACAGCTAATAAGTCCATTCCCTGATCTGGATCAAGGGGAAGCCATTGTAGCCACCCCATATTCCTGAATGGAGCATGACCACTGTACCAATTGAAGGAGGTCTTGGAGCAGCTGTATACGCTGGCTCTGTCTCTTTACTGCAGACATTTGCTGCAAGATGACGAGCCTATTGAATAACATGGGATTAGTTTTTTTGTTTTAGGAGGCCAAATGTCAGGACCCACAGTCAATCACTTCAGCGCACACTTCCAAGAAGGTTATACTTTATTGTGAGAACTATGGTAGCAGAAACATATTCACTGTTAGGAATAACCAATACTAAGCAAGCAGGTATATATGTAGTATATTCAAAAGTGCCCCCCCATCAACGGACCAATTGGTCATTCTCCCACGGACGGGATGAACCGTTGGAGTGCAGGCGAGGAAACGAAACTAGTCCCACAGTTAATGGATGGGAAGAGACACCACAGAAGCAAGCTACAAGGTCAGCGATAAGGAGTAGAGGCGCCAAGGGGAATGGAATGCAGGCTCGGCTGGTACACAGGTCAAGCGAGCGAACTGAAACCCATAAACCTTATGGCAGCCTAGCTGACACCAAGATGGAATTTTTTGGACTCCCTTAAATCCACCATCAATCCCAAAAACTTTATGGCACTGCCTTTAAGATCAGAATTGGTTTTGCAAGTGTGTATGCAATTCCTAAAATACCTTTCAAAATGGTACATCTTATTTACAAAAGATGTACATAACATTTAACCTGTATATATATATATATATATATATCAACAGAATGAGAAGGGAGCTCCCGGCCGCTGCCGAAGGCAATGGCGGTCGGGGGCTGGTTTGCCGCCGCGAGGAAGGCGGGACGGCAACAGCGTCCCAGCGCAGAGAGCTGGGACGTGGGGGGGCGGAGCCGGCCTGGCTAGACTCGGCTCCACTCTCGCCCCTCTGGTCAGTTGCAGCCTCGTGCTCGCTTGGAGCAGTCGGAGGCTGAGGTGCTGCTGTGCTGCGCTGCCGGGGCCGGAAGGGCTTTGTTCACAACCTCGAAGGGCTCCATGGCGGCGGCAGCAACAGCGGCGGCGATCGCAGGCAGGCCGAGCGTAGCGGGCGGCTCCGCTCGGAGGCACCACCGCTGAGGAAGCACCGGAGGCGGAGCGTGAAGCGGCGTCGAGAGGGGGTCGCCCGAATGCAGGGAGTACTCAGTGCGGCATGTCGGGGACGGGATAAGGGCTCCAGCGGGCATAGAGACAAGGACCGGGGGGGAGCTTTCCTCGACGCCTGGGTCGCGGGGGGATTGTAGAGTTGATGGACCTCCAGTTCCCCTCCTCCGGTCCTCGGTTCAACAGGCGGATTGCAGAGTAAGGGAGCTCCAGTTCCCCTCCTCTGGCGACACAGTTAGCCACAGGCCGAGCGCTCACCCCCACCTCGGAGCTTGATCGCCGACTGAACCTCCCCATCCCCTTCTGGACCATCGGCGGGAGATCGGGGTCCGGGGGACGGGTTTTCTTTTTGGCGACAAGGCGATCTCTCCGCCCCTCCCCCCCCACCGTAGGCAAGAAGGATAGCTCCGCACCTTGGGTCGACAGTGGGGCGGTGGACGACCCACACTTCATGGGCAGCCGCGGGGATGCACGGGAGGATCGGTTGCCTATCACCGCCCCCCCCGTTACCCTTCCGACATTTGCCCTCCCCCGCCCCACTTGCACGCCACCAGTCAGCTGCGGGGCGCTTTGTGCTGAAGAGGGCTTGCACGCGGTTAAAGGAGCGGCAAGGCGACCGCGGGCAGTTCTAATAAGCAAGGGAGGTGGCTGCTGGCGGGGAGTCCCGGGTGAGGATCTGCACGTCGCGGGGCGGGGCCTGGACCTCAGAGCAATAGCCGCGTGCAGGTTCGGGTTCACTGGGAGCCACGGTGAGCCGAGTTGGCTACTGCTGGCGCAGGGTTTGTCCTACAGCTCCACACTCTTAAAGTAAAACCAACCAATAAACAAACCCATGACAAATATTTTGTTGTTCAGTCGCACAGTCGAGTCCGACTCTTCGCGACCCCATGGACCAGCTCCCACCAGGCCCTCCTGTCTTTCGCCGTCCTCTGAAGTTGGCTCAATTTCATGTTCGTTGCATCGATGACACTGTCCAACCATCTCATCCTTTGCCGTTCCCGTCTTCTTTGACCTTCAATCTTTCCCAGCATCAGGGTCTTCTCCAGTGAGTGCTCCCTTCTCATTTGGTGGCCAAAGTATTTGAGCTTCAGTTTCATTATCTGGCCTTCCAGGGAACAGTCAGGGTTGATTTCTTTTAGGATTGACTGATTTGATCCTTTTGCAGTCCAAGGGACTCTCAAGAGTCTTCCCCAGCACCATAGTTCAAAAGAATCTATTCTTCGGCGCTCGGCCTTCCTTATAGTCCAACTCTCGCAGTGAAGCCCTATTTATCCCCAGTCTAAAGAAAATGCCTGGAGCGGGAACGACATCCGGTGGACCTTCTGGCTGGAGGGACCGAGGCTTGCCTCTTTATTGTTTTATTGATACCTAGCTGGGGGGGGGGGCATGCAGCCGAGTGCATTGTCTCTTAAGCCGCGTGGGCTCCAGTAATAAAAGGCTCCAGCCAGTTTGCAGGGGTTACGAGCAGGGTTCCCTCTAACCTGAGTTAGGGTTTTTAGCTCTCACACAATTTTGTCTTAGCTTGGGAAGGATGGCTCCAGAGCGAACCGGTTCCTGCAGTGGCCAAAGTGCTCCCTCGCACCTTTGATGCCAGTGGCTCACAGACTAGAATTTTTTGCTCACAGGAATCCACAGTTTAACGGGAGAATTGGTTAGGAGCACAGGCTCTACTCGGGGGGATTTGGGTTGATTCCTCACACATTCACAGGTGGCTGCTGAGGTCATCCTGCATGGTCACAGGTTGTCTCAGAGCTGTTTTTTGCTCTGGGCTGCAGCCATTAGGAGGTCGGCAGTTAAGACTCTGAACTGCGCCCTGTAGAAGGTCGGTAGTTCCACAGTGCGAGGCAGGAGTGCCACAGGACAGAGGGAGCTTCCGTCCCTGGCCTGGTTTTCCCCAACCTTACTCCTTAACAGGTGGCCTGCGTCGGTCACAGGTTCTATCAGAGCTGTTTTTGCTCTGAACTGCGGTCCTTAGGAGGTTGGCAGGACACGGGGCACGTCCGGGTTCCAGGGGGTGGAGAGGCGTCTGTGCGGGCCCAGATCACCCCCCCCACACACACACACCTGCAGCTTGGAAGCAGGGACCGGCAAGTCGATAGCTGGGCAGGTTCCAGGGGGACACATAATAATAAGGCCTGAACGCTCACAGCTTTAATGTCAGCAGCTCACAGAGTGGAATTTTGCTCACAAGACTCTACAGCTTAGAGGGAACATTGGGTACAGTTTCAGGTCTGCTTCAGACACTACTTTAGGCTGCGTGAGTTCAACTCATTTCATCTATCCCTGTACAGGTAGATGAAATTGCTGTGGTGGTGGCTTCGGGGCCTCCTGCGACCATGAGTGATTTCCTGTTCTTCTACATGAGGCCGGTTGGGTGACCTTTGGTCAGTCACGGCTCTCTTGGAGCGGTTCTCTCAGGAGCGGCTCTCTTAGAGCTATTTCAGCCACAGGGAAGGGGATTGTAAGCCGTTCTGGTGTGAAGGGCAGGGTATGACTCCAGTCCCTTCTTTTTCTTCAGTAGAAGGCTATAGAATCCTCATCGGTAGAATACTATAGAATCCTTTATTGGTGTCTAACTAAACTACGAATAGACACTGACTTTGAGCTACTTGAAACTGGGTAGCTCACTTGGGGGCTCACTGTGTGGGGCGAAATCAAGTGTAATCTGAATGGAAGCCAACGGAACCTCTAAGGGTTTCCTTCTAGAAGGATTCCTTATCAGCAACATGTGGCCTTGATGGTGTGAAGGCAAATTGGGTTGGTATTTGTCCTGGGTTAGGGATCATAATATCTATTCCAATATGTCATTGGTACATCATGTTTTCTGTTTTAGCAGGGATGCGGTATGACTTCCAACCTGGTGCGGTGAGCTGGGAATATGGCAGCTGGCACATCGTTACATGTCATTGGTTTGGTCCTCAGGAGCATTTCTCACAGGTTTTAACAGTGAATTGTTAGGGCCTAGATGGGTGGCATTGGTTATGATAGGCTGTGGGATGCGGCAGTGCAGCCACGGCAACAGTAAATAAGGCAGATGGATTGCCGGGAGGTTCCCTTGGGAGGAATGAAACTGCTTATTGACTTGGCAGCCCAGCCTTACTTCCATATAGGTAAATAGGTGCCACTGGAGCCATCTTCACATTATGGCGAGTGTACTACAACCTGCACGTATGGGCATATATCAGATGGTAGGGGGGAGCCAATGCACATTTCTGTGTGCTTGTCCTGGTCTTTCGGATAGGAGCCCAGTTTCTGTAGACTTCTTGGTGGTTATTAAAGAAGCATTTCATGTACTTAGAAGCATTTCGGACTGCCTTTTTTGGGCCTTCCCTTGACTGTTAAAGCAATGGGGTTCCTCCCTGGCAGGTCATTTAATTAGAAGCGTATCAAAATGCCTTATTGGTGCAGTCCATTGACTTATAGACAATGGATGCCTCCCGGCTCGGGTCCAATTGCAATGGTGGGAATAGTTCTTTATGAACACCAAGACGTTAAGAGCAGGGGGGCAGATCTTCTCTACTGCTGTTGGACATCCTGGGGAATCTCTTGATATGACCTTTAGCCAGGACGAGTCCAGGCCTCAATTTCTGATCTTTCGGGGTTATGTGGTTGCCTGAAGATCCGAAGTAAATGAGTCTTGTCTGTTTAATAGTGAATGAATGCATGAAAAGGCATAGACTTGGTTTTGCGGGGCATGAAGGTAAATAGCATCACCGGATAATTAACATCGCTTTAAAGGGATGGGACTTCCTTTACTACTCAGGAATTTTAAAAGAGTTAATTCAGCAGATCGCAGTGACGGTAGGAATGCAGCCATTGCAAATGCAAACCTTACTGTATACAGGTAGGGAAATTTCTAAAACAATTCTATGAGGGTCGGTGAAAAGAGGGGTTAAATTACGATTTGGGGGCCGCTGCACTTCAAGTTGTAAGATGGTTACAGCTTTAGGCATGCGGATGGAACTCCGCGGACTTGGCCCATGTTCATGACGGTGAGCACTCAGGCGTGGGGTGAGTTGGACCTTGCTCACGGCAGCCGCCCCAGGATGTGGCTTCCTTGCCACGGCAGCCGCCCCAGGATATGGCTTCTTGCCATATGGTAGGGTCACGGGGTTTCTTCGGATCAGTCCCTTAGTCTAGTTACTGCGCCCGCTTTGGGGGGTGGCAGTCTGGGGGATACGTGAGCCAGGGGTGGGGCTTTTGCCTAGCATTCGAAGAAAGGTATTGCGAGAGTTTCAAGTTATTCATGAGGTTGTCATTTCAGGTGCGGCTGGCCATGGGACGAGACCACGAGTCGATGAGGGTTCGTTTCAGGTGCGGCCAGCCATGGGGCGAGATGAAGAATCAATGTCTGTGGCCACAGCACAGTCTTTTGGGCCACCCACCGGGCCAGTGGAAGCCCTTGGTGCTACAAGGGAGAGGGAACACGGTGGGATGGTCGGCCGGCAAGGCTGGGGCGTGACAAGCTGAGGCTGTCCTGGTGATGATCAGAATGAGATGGTTTAGAGTGCGGATGGTCTGCTTGGCTATTCTGACTTGCCATGAATTACAAAGACATTGTGCGTGGGGTGGAGGCTGACCTTGCGATGAGAAGAGCAAGGTGGCCGGGGTTGCAGATGGTCTGGTTGGCTATGCTGCTTCGCCATGAGGGGCTACACAATTGCACGGTGGAGTCTTACCTTGGGATGATAAGAGCAAGGTGGCTCGGAGCGCTGGGATGATAAGAGCAAGGTGGCTTGGAGTGCTGATAGCCTGGCCAGCTACGTTACTTACCCTGTTGTTTGAGGAGCGGCACGGGCCGCCTCCTGATATTTTACTGGTGCACCTTGGGGGCAATGATCTCGGATTGATGAATGGCAAGGCCCTGGTTATCCAGGCCACAGAGGACCTGAAGCTGATTCAGGCGAGATGGCCCATGGTGCAGGTGATTGGTCGGCAATTCTACCACGGCACGTGTGGTGCAATTGGGGGGACCCCAGATGCATTGACCGGGCTAAGCGCAAGGTGAACAAGCAAATCCAGAAGGTTTTGGAGGGTGGTTGGGGCCAGTATCTACCACACCCTGGAATAGGAGTCCGGGACCCGGACCTGTACAGGGAGGATGGTATCCACTTGTCAGACAAGGGCAACCAGTTATTTTTAGAGGACATCCGGCAAGGGATCATGGCTGCCTTAAGTGGTTTGGTGGCCGCGTCAGCCAAAGCAGAGGCTTGGCTTTGCGAGTGGCAGAGATAAGGCAGCGGAATTGGTGAGCACCGTAAGCCGTCCCATCTTTTGGGAACTGGGGGGGTCTTCAGGAATGGCTTGCGGGCTATTAAGGCCCCGGGTGGGGAATGAGGACCCCCTCTGGGAGCCTCTTGGGTTAAGCTCCTCTCTGCAAACTGTAGGGTTTCAGGGGTAGGCGCTCCCGGGAGGCAACCCATGGCTGGGCTGCTGGTCGCAAGCCAGGTTAACGGCCCAAGACCGGGGTTGGTGCCTCGCCCATATATATCAGACAAGGAGGCTGGTCAGCCTGACACCTGCCTTGTCTGTTCCGCTACTTAGGAAGTGCTCCCTTGCCGGTTGCTATTAATAAATTGTATATAGTTAATAAAGTGGCCCTTATCTAATCCAAATTGTTGTCCGTCTCGTTATTCCCGCTGTGGGGGCAAATAACCTTACATTGGGTATGATCACATGCACAATTAGTCCCGCCATAGGCACGAATGCCAGGTGGATTTAAAGGGCATGATCAGACATGAACATCTGGGAAGCACCTTGCACCTGTCGGCAACCAATTTTGCTCTGCCGCAGAAGCAGAGTAAAAAGACACCGGAGAAAATCCAGTACTAAATGGGTTGCGACAGGCCATGGATGGAGTTTCCCATGTCTGATCGCTCCAGTGTGCTCTCATGATGTCGGGATGATCTGATCAGGCCATCCCGACTCCATGCCGTTGGTTTTTTTCCCCTTCTCAGTATGTGCATCATCACAAACTACATAGGGAGACCTCAGTGCGGAGATGTGATTCATTGATTCCTCGTGTAAGTGCATCTGAAACAAACAGCAAAAAAAACAAAAAAACAAAAAACAACCACCACCCGACTTACCCGTGGTTGCGTCTGATCACGCAGTGGCGGGCTGTGCCCACAGCTTCCAAGGACTGTGTGATCACGCAACCGCGGGTCAATTTCCTCTGGAGAAAATAACCTTGCTCCCCCCCCCACTTTATCTCATGCATTTGACCACTCCCATTCTTTATTTATGCCATAATGGTCTGTTTACTAATTTATACCCAACTAGGCTGAAAAGGATACAGTAGCTCTTTGTGGCTTATCACTAATTATGTTGCAAAATTTATAATGGAATCCCTCAGATGCATTATAGGAATTTAGGTTTCCATGTTAACTCCATGTAAAGCAAAACTTCAGACTCTTAAACACTTGGGTCAGTCACACCAAATATCTCCAGGAAGAATGGAGTAAAGGGGAATAAGTAGCAGACTAATGGTGTATGTGTGATGAAACAGATATGTCAATCTATTTTCCGTTTGTCTGTCTGTCCATCCATCCTGACCTTCTCCTTGTACAGTCTGGACCCAAAGCAAGTAAAACAATAAATACAATATAAAATAACCAATTATTAAAATCATCAAAACACATCATTCAAACAAGTAAATTAAACAAATAGTTAAAAGAAATAAGAAATCATTCAGATCCTGTTCAAGCTGCCTCATAAGCTCTTTTAAAGAGTTCTGCCTTACAGCCTTGCCAGAAGGTTGCAATGGTGTTTGTATCACACTTTCCAGGAAGCAGTTCAACAGCAGCTGGGCAGTAAAAGAAAAGATACATCTGATAACAGCTACATCTGATCAGTTTTTGGAAACAATCAGGCAGAAAGTTATTTAATATCTTCTGGATGTCTCTAATTTATTAAAGGCTTCATATCCTCCTTATCCTTGAACAATGAAATTCCCATCATAGGAAAAGTTTCCTTCCCAGTTACTGTGGTGCTTGGCCCAGTTTAAAAACATTGATACAAAGTGAGCCAATGGTGAAAAACTTTCCAAATCAGTATTGTGGGCCTAACAGATGAAAGTTTAAGCTCTTGTGTACAGAGTCAATGTGAATGGCAATGGTCAACATTGCATAAATGGATGGTATCATTCTGGAAAGCAGGCCAAACAAAATAGGTTATCGCAGATTTCCATGCCCTCCTTGAAAGCTAAGACATTAAAACAAAATAAAGATAGGATGTCACTTACCATATCATGGTCTGAAACAGGCCCAAAGCTGGTGACAAAGATGTCAGTCTTCACCGCAGTTACACGCTCTGATGAAGCAGGAAATTAGGATAGTGAGTACTTATCGATACCTTTCATTAGATCAGCTACTAGAAGCTTTTATCAAAACAGAGCACGCATTGACTTTGATTAGGTATGCTGAAATGGGTCCACCACTAACTATGCTCAGACATCCAGCTGCTCAGCTCACGCTCTGCTTGCCATTCACAAGCAGGGAGCCGATCATTCGGCAAGCTTGTTCAGTTTCCAAATAATTTCATATATGTCTGTATTCATGATATGATAACTGGTGTTTGCTCATGAGTAGATTATATAATTGCTTCTGCCATCTCCTGCCACCTATCTGGAACACGTTAAAATCAAATTGAATCACTTGGAGATTTTTGAGGTGAGATATACTACTTAGAGTCTTTGGGTGCCTTCAGTATCTTTCCATGAACCTGGCTAATCTTCAGTTAGTTCTAGATATGACTGCATGGGTACAAAATCAGACATTGCATTCTGTCTACTGTCAATCATTTAAAGGATGTATGTGATTGTGCAGGCCCAAAGGCAGGAGAAATGGCAAGCAGTTCTGTGATTTATAAAAGCTGGTCAGTGTAATGACCTGAGTGACCAGGAGTCCTGGGGATGCAGCTTCTTTTCCAGTAAATAAAATGATTTAGTGCTGTATTGACCAACTGGATACTGTGCAGATACAAAGCTGCTCAGCATTGTGTGCTCACAATGACTGTCATCAGGAAACATCAGGAGCTTGCCTTGCATGTACTTGAGGGAATATATGATCAAGATATGTTCTCCTGGTAAACTCATTCACGGTGAAGCTCTCAGCTTGCACATCCACAGCATAATCGTAATGATTTAGGACAAAGTCTGCAAAGTCCTATTCACATTAAAAAGGTAAAGGTTCCCTTGCTCAAAAGCCAATCGAATCCAACTCTAGGGTTGCGGTGCTCATCTCCGTTTCAAAGCCAAAGAGCCAGCGCTGTCTGAAGACATTTCCGTGGTCATGTGGCCGGCATGACTAAACACCAAGGTGCACGGAACGCTGTTACCTTCCCACCAAAGTGGTACCTATTTATCTACTTGCAATTTCTTGCTTTCGAACTGCTAGGTTGGCAGGAGATGGAACTAGAGACGGGAGCTCACTCCATCTTGTGGCACCTGGGTCTCAAACTGCTGAACTACTGACCTTCCACAGCCTGCAGTTCAGCGTCTTAACCACTTGAGCCACCGCAGCTCCTCCTATTCACATTATGTGTGGGGGCAAACACATCCAAATTCTTCTCAGAGGCTGCGGTCAGACGTGCCATTTGGCATGGTCAGGAAGCACTCCTATTTCATCAATTGGTATTTTAAATGAAGTCATTCAATCAGACCTCCCAGTATAATCTGTTTTGCTGCAGATGCAGCCCATCACTGCACAATCAGACAGCATGTTCAGGTGAGGGGGTTGCCTTTTTGTGCGCATGCGCAGAAACGAGGAATTCAACCCCCAAATGGAGAGTTCTCCATGGACTGATTATATGGTTACGTGCATACCACTAAGCAAGCACAAAAAATGGTGATGAGTTGGGATGGAATGGGCAGACCATTCTGACAGCTTGAGAATGCACTTGCTTGATCAGACAGTGGAAAGTCCACCTGTGGTCCGTCAGAACCAGTTAAGACTGGATTTCCCCAGTGTCTTTTAACTCCATTTCAGGGGGGGCAGCACGGGGTGCCGATGACTGTGGGACCTTTCCAGATGTTGCTGTCTGATTGTGCACTTTAGATACATCAGGATTTCACAGCGAAGTCAGATCTAAAGGCACGTCTGACCACAGCCAGAATTTCCTTCTCAGAAGAACCCCCATACAAAGTCTTCAGATTTCTATTTAAATACTTCAAGTTTGAAATACAAATCCTGTCATCAGAACAGAACCTTTATTGGCATATAAAATCAGTAAGATAAAGCTAAAATTACATAAAGTCCTGTCATCTGGCACGAGAGCTTTTAAAAAACAAAAATGCTGTTGGGTACATATTTTAGAGATGAGTAAAAATTTCCTGTTTTATTTCTTTTTATATACATTTGTATTTGTGTCAACAGTTTCAGTTCTTTGTGATAAACATTTAGTTACTTCTTAAAAGATGCAGCGACTGGCTTTCTCAAGCAAGATTCAACATGCAACATATCAGAGAAAGATAAAATACATATAGCCTATTAAAAACAAATGGACTAAACAGTCAGAGCAGCCTAATACTGGCCCCTGCCACACGGGGGGAGAAAGCACGGCTGAAGTGTGGCTTTTTAAAGCTGCACCAAAAGAGACACGTGGTGGCGGGATCAGATAGATCCCCTGAGCCACTGCGCAGTTCCTCCCCGGCACGATCAGATGCTGGGGGGAAGCCACTGAAGGGAGAGCGAGGCAGCCAAACTGCGCATGTGTGCGCTTACGCAGTTCAGCCGGGAGCCTGGATTGCTACCGAAGATGGGCGCGCCAGTGATCCCACGGCCGTGCTTGCGGTGGCGTTCCAGGTAAGTCCTGCTCTTTTGCAGGTTCTTTTTTGATGCGCACTTTAGGCCTGAAGGGATGGATCGGGGACGGGTGCACGCCGATTCCCAGATGTTGCGGTGTGCTCGCACCCATTTGCTGCGCCCCCAATCCATCCCTCTCCCGGGCCAAAACCTTCCGTGTGACCAGGGCCACTGAAGATTTAAGGTTTCTCAAAGGCTCTATTATACAGCCATTTTGCAACATCTCCTAAAAACAAGCAGTAAGTGGGTAATATGAAATTTCAATGGGAGACCATTCCAGAGTGTTGGAGCAATTATAGAAAACCATCTGGAATGTCAGATGCACCTCCCTATTTGAAAAGACTGCTACAAGAAATTACACGGAGTGGAACATAAGTTGCATATGGGCATATATTGGGAGAGCTGTTTTTTTAGATATGACCATTGTCAGCATTACAGGTTCATTTGTACTGTGCAGGCATGCTTGGGGGTTTTGCATGCCACTTACATAATATTAATAAGTACAATCAATGTCATCACTATGAACAAATATTTTTTGAAAAAATTGGAAAAATTCAATGGGAGGAAACAGAAAATGATAGCAAAATAAAGAATCATGGATTTAATTTGCACAAGAGAATCAAAATGAGGATCTTCATACTGAAACTACAGGGATGAGAAGTTTGAATATGCCCCGATTGATTTTGCCCCACAGATTCCCCTTTGAGCACCCCAGCAATGCTACCGTCTGGTTGGGGCAGACATGCCCCATCCTTTCTTGAGGCCATCAGTGCACCACTGAGAGCACTGCGGGCAACTTGCTTTCAGGGGTCTGAAACCTTTTACATTTGAACAGCTAAAGTTCAAAAGAAGAGATCGACAAAAGCCAGCATAAAAAAAGCTCATTTGTATAACTGACATTGTACAGATTAATATGTGGGATTCCACATGGTGCAATCTTATCCCTCATGTTATCCAACCTCTACATTAAGCCTTTAGGATAATTCTTCAATAGCTTTGGAACAGGATGCCATCAGCATATATAACTATGTATAGAGATACATATCTCTCTCCAAGTTCTATATCTCTCTGTCCAGATCCTCTGGTAATATGGTAGAGCTACTGCCTAACTGCTGAAGTTAAATGGGCTGGAACTGAACCCAGCCAAAATGGAGGTATGCTGGTTGGGAAGCATGAGGTCTTAAAAGACAATGTTTTTCCGATTTTGATGGGGTTCAGGTGGCCTTTGCCGACTCCATTAAGAATCTAGGAGTTATCAACATTACTGCTGGAAAAGCAAGTTAATGCAGCTGCAATATCCTCCCCAAAACTCCCCCCCCCACACACACTTTTTTATGTTAGTTTAGTTAGTTTACTTTAGCCCAGAAAATGGCCCCCTACCTTGACTCTGCTAATATGGCCACCTGGGTCCATGCTACCTAATCTCAAAACTAAACCACTGTAATGCATTCTACATAGGTCTCCCCATGAAATCAACTCAGAGACTCCAGCTGATGCAGAATTCTGCAGTTCAGTTATTATCGCCAGCTATGAGCATGCATAATACATCACTGTAAGCAATATATATGCTTCACCAAACTATTTATTTTCCCCTACTTCTGGCAGCCTCACCATTCTCTGCTTCTTTGTCTCCTTCTCACCCATAAACCCAATCGGATATTACAAGCTGCCCAGCACTTGCTTCTGGGCCTGGGCCTGATAAGTCCTCCCTCAATGGTCATAACAGCCCTGGAAAGGGCACTAGTCTCTCTCCCTGCCTTTTCCTGACTGAAACCAAGGGTTGAATGCTGGCAATATTATGCAGTTGCCAAGCAACAACCACTGATGGCATTAGTTTCTAAAAGCTACAGGTGTTGATTTTATTATTTTGGGAGTTAACCCACCAGAGTAATATTTTTTTTTTTAGATTTCAGATTTTTTCACAAACCTGGGGTGTTTTTCAAGTTTATAGAAAGATTTTTCTTATTTGCTCTTGGTTCCAGTCTCTAGATTTAAGTATCATCAGATTTAGCCAGATTGAGAATTCGGCTGCTTTCCAGCTGCAGGGGGCTTCTTTGCCTCTCTGGAAGGAGGAAAAGGCAGGTGACGTGTGACATTAGCATCATGGCATCGCAGCAGAGGGGTGGAGCTGGCAAGGATTTAAGCATGGGTCTGCCCCCACTCTTCTTCTTTTGTCCACATGCTCGGCATGCTCAGAGGAGGAGCCACAAACTGACCAACAGTGGTGGTGGTGGTGGCCTCCTTGGGGCTGCAGCATGGAGCATGCTGCAACCTGTGCAGTAACAGTGGTGGCTGCCTCAGACAGTGGCAGGGACCATGACACAGTCTCCATAGTGGCAATGGCTTCCTCAAGATGGTGGTGGACAGGGCTGCAGCCTGTGCAGCAGTGGCAGCCTCCTCGGGAGTCCGGAGGCCACCTGTTCAGGTCAGGGGAGCAATCAGGGCCTGTGGGGTGGCAGCACTGGGCAGGTGGTGCAGCCGTGTTGGTCCCAGGGGGTGGGATTCCCC